TGCTTACACAAGAGGAGGTTAGAACACAGACAACCCAGACAGAGAGACAACCATGTGAGGACACAGCAAGAAGGCAGCCATCTGCCACATAAAAAAAGTGGCCTCAGAAAAAAACAAATCTGTTGACACCTTGATCTTCAACTCCTAGCCTCCAGAATTGTGAGAAAATAAATTTATGTTGTTTAAGCCACCCAGTCTGGTATTTTGTTAGGGCAGCCATAACAAACTAATACATATATTGTATCTAGTTTCAAGCTCCGTCTCCTGTTCACATCTGACCTAACTATTCTGCTGTCTCCTCCTCCTCCCTTGACTTCTATAAAGATTTTATTTATTTATTTATTTTCCCCCCAAAGCCCCAGTAGATAGTTGTATATCATAGCTGCACATCCTCCTAGTTGCTGTATGTGGGAGACGGCCTCAGCATGGCCAGAGAAGCGATGCGTTGGTGCGCGCCTGGAATCCGAACCCAGGCCGCCAGCAGCAGAGCGCGTGCACCTAACCGCCAAGCCACGAGGCCAGCCTCTCCCTTGACTTCTAAATTCTAGAGGCCAGCCTCCCTTCTTTCTCTCTACACTCACTTCTAAAGAAGATCTCGCTTTTTTGTTAGCTTTATTACCATCAGCATGCTCACAGCTCCCAGATTTATTTCCCCAGCAAGCCTTCTCTTTGGGGATCCCCTCGGTTAGATGTCCAGTTACCCCTGAAAGTGTTTCTTGGCTATATCACGGGCATCCAAATGCTATCTTGCCCAAAACTAATTCTTCTAGAACCTCCTCCTCCTGACCTTTTCCAGGTCAACAAAGGGAAACACAATCTCCCCAGCTTCTCAACCAAAACAGTGATAAATCCAGTTGAATCTACCTCCAAAACATGTCTTGAATCTGTCTTCACCTCTCCAGCTTTTCTGCTGTGGTGTTGCCTAGGACACTGTTATTTCTTGTCTCACTGAAGGCAGTAACCCTGGACTGGCCTTCTCGCTTCGTTAAATTTATCAAGGTTTTTCCTGACTTGTGCCTTTGTGCTTTCTGTTCCCTCTGTCTGTCGCTTTTCTCCCCTGGCTTTTGATAGGACCTTTCTCATCCTTCAAGTTTCCGGTTATATGTCACTTCCTCAGAGAGGCCAGCCCTGAACATTCTCTTTAAATAGTTCTCCCCCTCTGTTTTTTTCTATCTCATTCATTTCCTTCTAAGAATTTCCTGCTTAAATCTTTTTTTTTATTAAATTATTTTCTGTTTCCATCACTGTCAAAGGAAAATTGCACCAGACAAATTAAACAGGAGAGGAAGACTTTATTCAAGACTATTGAAGTAGAGGATAGAGGTTGAACTCAATTCCTTGAAACAAAAGGCAGGGGAGTTTTTAAGAGGTGGGGTGAGCTAGTGGGAATAGTGGGGAGACCGGTCAATGTGATTAGGCTGTCTGTGTTTGCTAGTGGGCTCTTATCAAAGTTAGGCTCCTACCCTCCCCAGAGACTGGGAGATAGAGGCCCTCTCTTTCTTGAGGATTACATTTCAAAGATGCTCCCAGGTCCTTGAGAAAGGCATTCCTAGGTTGTAAAACCGTCAAGAGGCTGTGAGAAGATTTACCTGTCAAAGAAGCAGAGAAAGAATTTACAGTTCCAAGTTTTCTGAAGAAAATGCTCCAAGAAAAAAGAGGTCAGAGACCTATAGTCAGGAAGAAACCTGTCTATAGTTTAGTCACACTGAGGAGAATAGTAAGGCTCTCTTGATCACCACTAAATCGTAAGATTCATGATTAAAGAAGAAACTATTTCACTTCTACACCTAAACGCCTAGTATAGTTCCTGACACACATGTCCTTAATAAAATTTTGACAAATGAGCATATGAATGACTATGCTACTAGATACTTACCTGTGTTTTCTAGAGTATTTAACATCTCTAGACCTCAGTGTCCTGTAAAGGCAATAATACTCAGCATCTTATAGCTTGTTGCTAAGGTCAAATCAGATTGTGTGTGTAAAAGCACCAAGAATAGGGTTTCAATAACTAGAATGTTTCCTTCCACAGATGCCATGATTTTTAACAAACTCTAAACAAAATTCTTAAAGTGATGCACTATTTCGGTCATCTTTTTTTGCTTTGCTTTGACTGTTGGAAACCTCATTTGTGCTATCCAAACATGAAAGCTATTGTACATACATTTTTATTCTACTAACATATTTTCCCCCACCTTATTGAGCTATAATTGACATATAGCATCGTGCAAATTTAATGTGTATGAGATGTTAATTTAATACATTTATATATTGGAAAATGATTACCACCATAGCATCAGCTAACACCTCCATCACATCACATAATTATCATTGCTTTAGTGTCCATCAATGGATGAAAGGATAAAGAAGATGTGGTATATATTTATATGTGTGTGTGTGTGTGTGTGTGTGTGTGCAATGGAATATTATTCAGTCATGAGAAAGAAGGAAATCCTGCCATTTGTGACAACATGAATCGACCTTGAAGGATTATGCTAAGTGAAATAAGTCAGATAGAAAAAGACAAATACTGTATGATATCACTTATCTGTGGAATCTGAAAAAGCCAAAGTCATAGAGACAGAGTAGAATGGTGTCTTCCAGGGGCTGGGGGGTGGTGGAAATGGGGGAAACATTGGTCAAAGTGTACAAACTTTCAGTTATAAAATGAATAAGTCTGAGGATCTACCAACATATTCTTAAAAAAAAATAATTACACATAAGATACAATGATGATTACCCATGGCAAATGTGAGTAAAAGTAGCATTCTAACAACAGGGTTTGGAACGGGTGTGTTGTGTCCCTTGTTCTCTGCGGAACTAAGTGTATCACAATGAAAGAGGTGTATATGCTGCGGTATCAGGAAGGTTTTGAAGTGAAATTTATACCTTCAGGTTTGGTGGTAGCCAATAGGTTGTCTTTGAAATCTCTCAACACAACATCATAGTTGTGTCTACAGCAACAATATAAACTAAAGCATAAAACATTACTACTGTAAGTCTGTGACTGTCAGACGAACGTGGCTATTTTTGCTCTCAGTTTAGGCAATGGCCTCATTGTCCTCCTGGGTTTGCACAGGTGGATACAGCAGTGATGCTCTGGCCAGACGATGCTCAGTCTTCCATCTAGACACTCACCTGGAGGAGGTCTCCACTTTGCATTTCAGAACTTGAGTTTACACTCAATGTGTTGCATTAGACAGTGTTGGAGGCAGAACTAACCCTGTCTAATAGGCTAGATGTGCTATAGCAGGCTTTTCCCTTCTGAGGAGATAGAAATACATTTATCCCTAAATTCCCAGAAGAAATAACAAGTCCTTCTGAACATGTTCTTTCAATTTTTGTAACATAAGAATAGTTACAAACTAAAGGACTGTTAAATTGATCATTTTGGGGAATATAAAATTATGTGTCTGTTGTAGTTCCAAAAAGTGAAACACAGAATTACTATATGATCTAGCAATTCCACTTCTAGGTCTATACCCAAAAGAAATGAAAGCCGAGACTGTAACAAATGCTTGACACCAATGTTCGTAGCAGCATCATTCGCAGCAGCCAAGAGGTGGAAACAACTCAAATGTCTATCAACACATGAATAGACAAACAAAGAGTGGTTATATCATTATATATTATATATCTTATTATTATATACAATGTTATATTATTCAGTCATAAAAAGGAATGAAATTCTGATACGTGCTACAAAGATAAACCTTGAAAACATTATAACTTAAGCCAGATTAAAAAGGACAAATATTGTATGATTCCACTTATATGAGGTGCCTAGAATAAGCAAATTCATAGAGACAGGAAGTAGAATGGAGGTTACTAGGGGCTGGGGGAGGGAGAGTGGGGAGTTGCTGTTTAATGGGTACAGAATTGCTGTGTGGGATGATGAAAAATTCTGAAAGTGGACAGTAGTGATATTTGCACAACATTGTGAATCTACTCAATGCCACTGAATTCTACACTTAAAAATGGTTAAAATGATAAAATTTATGTTATATATATTTTATGACAATAAAGAAATAAATGAACTAACATTAAAAATAATTACTCCCATGTAGCGCAGATACCGCATTCATCATGAGATTAAGTTTCTTCCAGGTTGGGGAGGGTTGCAACCTGTCATGAAAAAAGCTCCAGACGTAGATTCAGAAGGATTTTTCCCCAGTCTCAGCTCTGTCACATACTAGTGATAGAAAATCTGAGCAGGTTACTTAGGTCCTTTGCACTTTAGTCTTTTCCAGTTCCAGCATCCAACAGAGCTGTTTTGAGGACTAAAATTAAAAGGAAATAATGCATATGAAATGCTTTGTAAATTCCAGCAATTGTACAAATGGCTGGGGGCAATTTTTATTAAATATTCCTTTAAGGAGCTTAGTTTTACTAATCTTATCACTAAAAAGCACTTATTAATTCCTATTTAAATACCCTAAAATATTAAATTATTATTGGTAAGATTCAACCAAAGTGTTTTTTTTTCTCTCTGTATTGAATCATAAGATTTTTAGAATGAAAGAGAAATGCAGAATTTCTGAGGAAACCACATTCCTCTTTACCATTCCGATAGTGAATGGGCTACTAACCTTTCCATTTATATTATTTCCATACCTCTTGTTCATTGTTTAGCCTCATTGTACATACCTTAGGAAGAAGATATAACTATATTATATCTTGTCTGGAAAAAAAATGATCTTCATTCATAATTAATTACTTCTTTTTAAACTATTTAAAAATTTTATTTTATTACCTGCTCTCGTCTTCCATTCCAAACCATACAAACCATTATCAGCCTCTGTATTGTCAGACATATAAAAATAATTTGCCATGGCACTATATCCAAGTGGACGTTATCTTGTAAAACCCTTTGGATACATAATTACATTGAAAAATAGATGTTTTAAAAGTAACAAATTTCTTGCTGTAACGTCATAAATAAATACCAAAATTAATGTGGCTGAAACAAATGTCAACTAATTTTTTGTTTCCCTCCTTAGTGGCTATGTCTTTGACTATGATTACTACAGAGATGATTTCTACAATCGGTAGGTAAATTTTTCATCTTTGTTTCCCTTTGAGTTAGATTATCTTTTAACTATTTTGTGTAGTTTATTCATAAGTATTCTTGATTGATATGTTTAAAATAATATTTTATAGTAAAAATTTAAAAAATACTTTACTAAGTCCCCCAAAATATAATATAGACAGATTTTCCTATTTTCATTGGACTTACTAAAGGATAGCTACGTCTTGGACTTTTAGGACTTTGGAGGTGCTTAAGCCTAAAATTTGGTTTCTGACATTTGGATGATATTGTAAAGATTTGATTAACCAGTATTATTTTCCAGGTCTATTGTTGACTTAGAAATCTTCAAGACTGAGCATTTTGTAAACTCAGAAAATGACTCCAACCTTCTAAAATACATCTGCTTTCATATGACACATTGAAAATGCTATATTGGTTAGATTTGGTAAAAATTACAAATAGTTCTTGCTTTGCATGGTAGTATGGGACCAAAAAGGAAACGATGCAAAGTGATGTTAATAATCAGTGGAAAAAAAATAAGATTCTCCATGACCTTTAAAAAGGTTCATCAAAACATTAAAAACTCTCTTACTCTCCGTTATAAGTATATAAGGAAATGCGGTAAAACTAATAGTTATTTAGTACATTGTATTTTAAAACAGTAAAAATATTGAGAATTAATGTGTTTTATTTCTTTGTAAAAAGACTTATCTAGAGTAGCTTGAACAATGCTTGCAAACTTGAAAAAACTGTTTGTAACAGACATTTTAAATAGGGAAGAAACTTCGTGATCCCTTGTAAGGGTCTCGTTCCATTTGCTCCAGGCACACGGGTCTGTTTTCAGTTCCACAAGAACACCGTGCTCCTTCCTGCCTCAGGACCTTCCTCTGTGTTGCCCTTTCTTTTAGACCTCCATCCACCATCTAGTTAACTTGACTTCATCCTTCGCATCCCAGCATGAACACCACTCTCAGACTCATTGAGGTTCCTCTGTTCCCATCTCTCAGCACCCAGTACTGTTCCTTCACAGCACTTCTCCTGGTTTTGAATGCTGTGTTTCTTTCTGTGATGGCAGTATTTGAGTCACGTCTGCCTTCCTCCATGAGGACAGGAAAGATGCTCAGTTTTGCAATTCGTGTTATTAATTCATCTCCTTAGATTTAGAGATTTTGCTTTTCCTAAGGTCGCACAGTTAATTAATGACAAAACTACAACTATAATCTATCCATTTAGATTCAATAATCAACTGTATGAATATGCAAAACAGAAGAGGAGCAATATCAGTCTATGGAGTTAAATAAAAGGAAACAGCCTTACCTAAATGGAAATCAGACCCACAACCATACCTTCATCACCACTATGCTCAAACTACTGAGTTAAGTTATTTCACTAGTTATCCCTTTATGACCAAATATGAATTTTTAAGGATGATTTTCTCAAATTTTTATAATTTCTACAAAATATAATATTTTATTTTAAATATTAAGTAGCTTGTAATCACTTGTTCTAAAAATGATGTGATGAGCTGGCAGCATTAAAATAATCCCATTTACTATTAAGATAACATTTGGATAGCCTTTATACTATTGGAAAATTTTAGTTTTTGAAAATTTTAAAGACATTTTCTAATATAGCATTTTTTTTTTCAGGATGCAGAACACTGTCCTAATTGTTATGAATAAAGTTTTCAATTAATATATATTGTCTTTTCGTTTGTCAGTATGAAACTATTTTAGTATTGTAATCTCTAAAGTGTTTTCTATAATATGACTTCCTCCCACATTTAAAGAATTTCCACCTAAAATGGAGTTTGGTCTAAATGACAGGAGACCCAAGTTCTGGTAATTAATCGTGTAATTTTGGGCACGTAGTCAGGTTTTCAGTTTTCTCATCTTTAAAAGGAAGCCAAGATCTGCATTTTACTGTGTATGAATTATAGCTCAATAAAATCACTAGATAGATAGGTTGATTTATTGATTGATAGATCGATCTATCCCTGTCAAAGAGCCAAGAGCCTTAATCAACTAAAAAATTATAGAGCCTGAAGCTTTCAGATGCCTCTCCACTACACAAAAACCTAACTCTGAACAATTTCCAAAATCATTTATTTGTCTTATATAAAATCTGTTTGGCTTATAAGTGTGCAAAAGATCAGTATGGTTGTATTGCTAACAGATTGTCTGAGCAGTCTGTGCTCTCATTAACTTTTCCATTTATTGCACTTGGCTACCAGTGGTATACTTGGGAGTTCCCTGTGAACATAGATTCCTGTGAAAGGAAAACAGAATGGAGAGGCCAGACAAGATAGGAAGCTTACAAAGACAGTGCTAACAGTTTTAGCCACAGTAATTCCTCGTAAATTACATCCTGCTCATTTCCTCTCATTTTGCTAGTGATGCAAACTTAGGCAAGTTATTTAACATGGCAAAAGCTGTTTTCCCCTCCATGAAGAGAGCATGAAATTAATTCTTGCCTCATAAGATTGTTCTGAGGATCAAATGAAATAATATATGTATAATGATCAGCATTATGCTTGGTATATTTTTAGTGCTTAATCAGTTAACTGTTAATGACAGTTAACAGTAACTATTAACAATGATGGTGAATGTATTTCTTACACTGATATTCATGTAGTAATGTCCCTATGACTCAGAAATAAGCTGGTTGGTCAGTTGTCATTCCATAACAGTCCATTGTAACACCTCTGGATGATTCTCTTTTTGGTTTTCCTTCTGCTCCCAGAGCATTCCAGGTGCAGCCAAACACACTTCCCTGCAGAGAGACAGCACTCAGCTCTTTCCTTTAACCCCACACTGCTTTGTTTTTGGTCAGGAAAACAGAAATTGCATAGTTATATTTAACAGGGATAATTGTATGTAAAAACTTTCTAACTAGGAATTAAGGAACTGAAAAAGTGAAAAGAAAATGTTATGGTCTAATGGAGTTAGCAACCACGGGGAGCAGCTACCCCCTGTAAGGCTGGGGAAACGGAGGCAGAGGTTGGGATTATCAAAATTTAATGTGGAAAAAGGAACTTGCAGAGCTGGAGCTGTGAGGAGGAGGTTCCGCTCAGCTAGTGCTGCTGTGTCTGAGCCCAGAGGGAGACCTGTGGGGCTGGAACCCAGACCTCCAAGGTAGCATGAAGACACTCTTCTGCAGCTGTTGCCAAATTACTCAAACTGGATTCAGCTGCTGCTACTGGAATGAATGGGTGCTGCCGGGATGAAGAAATAAGGCTAGAGTAGTGCTGACAAGAACAGGAAGCACCCTGTCTTCCTGCTCCAGCCTTGCAGTCTCGCTCTCAGGTCCTTTATTGGCTGAGCCTAGTAAGGAGCAGCAGGCCCCACAGGAATGTGACTTACAGAGTCCCAGCCCCAGCTGTAGCTAAAGGTGGGCCTGAGGCTGTGAGATTATAGCTTAGTAACTGACATGCATCCACATCATATTGTTATCCGATTTCTGCCAGTTTGGCGATTCTAATGTAATTGGGCAATTTTCAACCCTTAAACAGTTTTAGCTTAGAAAACTTCTTTACACAAAGTTCCATCTTTTTGTGATTGTTTTGATACATTGACTCACCAGTAACTTTTCCAAAGACTAGTTTAGTGTCTATCCATGGTTTCAGAGATCATGAAGAGTATCACTAAATAATAGACTTGAGTGGTTATTCTAAACTTTCATATTTTTATATTACACAAAGCATTGTCCAATGATTTACAGCATTTAATGGTATTTTCTTCTAAAAGGTCAAGTATGACTCGAAATGAAGGACATTACGTGTTATTAAAACTAAGCATAAATATTTATACTCTTCCAAGTAAAGGACAAGGAGATGTATATCTAAAAACATATTGACTCCCCCGGGGAATGTTTTCAATTGCTGAGATATTAGCAGTTTTAATCCAACTTTTTTTCAATACTGTCAAGAAGAGCACTGAGCAGTTTATAACCTCCAGTAATGAGTAAACTTTCGTTAATAGAGAAAAAGAAATGCCAGAGGTGCTATACCATATAGAAAACATACACTGTATACATATTAAATGATTCAAAATGGGCATTGTTCAACGCCAGAACCATTTGGCCTTGTATATATTAACAGAAGAGAAGTTACTAGAGTTGCAATGTTAATGAAAAAAACTCTAAGTCAAGTTGCAGTTGTCTCAGATTATTGATTAGTAAAGCACAGTATATATTCATGAATATTGGAAAAACATATTAGCAAGATGCAATGTCTGTTTCATTATGCAAATTTAAGTTAGCCTCTGGTAGAATGGTATTCCACTTAAAACATTTGCAAATTACAGCACGGTACAGTTGACAAAGGGTATGATTTGGAGTCAGAAGACATGAGTTTCAGGCCTGTGTGCACATGTTAACTGGTTAAACTTGGGCAAGTCACGTCATCCCTTTCTCGTAAGTTTTCTTCATGGGCAAAACGGCTTAACAATACGCACATTACAGAATTATAAGAATTAAATGAGAGAATAATTTTATTGATTTATAACCTTACAATTGCTATTTGAATGTATTAACGTTTTAATTACCCAAAGCTGTACACAAAATATAGCAGATAGCAAAGTTGTGCAAAATATAAAGACTACACCGAGGTCAAAATATTGCAAAAAAGATCTTTCAAGATTTCAAATAGCTTGCCTTTAAAAGCATGTTCGAGAAGCATTTGCACAATATCCAGGGAGGGAACTTCACTGAAAATCTCAGAAAAGTTTAATGATAAAAAACAGAAATAAAAATTATTCATTTATGGGTCTCAAGTGAAGTGTGCCTTTAAAAATTATTTTCTGATTCAGTTGTAACCAAAAGCTTATTTGAAGTCAGGGTGGAAATTATAGACAGATTTTATGAATTTTGAGTAGTTCTAATAGTGTAGAAAACAGATATACAAGTAGGATATAAGAATCATTCATGTGGATTTCAAATATATCCTTTCTTAAGAATGAATAGGCATTTTAATTTGGTTTTATAGACTATACATCTGTCAGAAGTTAAGCATGCTGAAGAGGAGAGTTCAAGGCTGAATCAAGACACAGGGAAAGATCTTCTCTGGTCCTCTGGTCATTGATCTTCACATATGTGCTAAAGGGCCCAGTGAGAACGTGGCCCTGAACTTGTTCTTAGGTTTTGGCTCTGGGTGGCCCAGGTATTTAGGCCCTAGTCCAGACCACATATTTCTGTTAGATTAACCACATAGTGACTAGAAGTTTTGATTCATAAGTGGGGAAAGTGAAGATCTCTTTTCATGAAGGAAATTTAAAAGAAAAAAGATAATTACCAATTCTTGAAATCACTGTTTATCTAAAATGAAAATTTAGTGTTCAGTGACAAAATACTATGCAAATATTACATTTTCGAAAGTTTTTCTTGAATTTTAAAATCACATTAGTTGACAACGGAAAATAGGCATTAAGTCAAAAGTCCACGAGGTACTGATTTATTAGAATGGAGTGTCTCTACTTGAAAAATGCAGGACAGCCATTAAAATAAACATTAGGAAGACAATTTAGCAGGCTTGAGAAATGTTTTTAATATAAACCGAAGAGAATTAGCTAGAATACATGACTGTGCATGTATTATGTTTTCACTATGTGAAAAATATGGATACCTGGAGAAAAAAGATTAGAGAATGATGGTAGTTATTTCAGAGTGTGAGAGTGGGAGTGTGTTTTTTTCTAAACCATTGCTTTATTATTGTTAAAGCCTAATAATAACAAACTTTTAATAAATACAAGCATTCAAAATTATATTCATTTTATATGTCAATATGCCATTATATTCCCTTTGTCCAAAAAGGAGTTATTTTTTAATAGCTGATATCCTTATTCTTCCTAGAGACAAGTTATGTTTATTTTTATCAAGTAAATTAATACTAAAATTATTTACCAGTTTTTAGCTTTTTCTAAGTAATAAAATTCCATATCCAGATATTATTAAAGCAAACAAAATTCCAGGCAAGAAATGGGCACAGGAAAAGTAGAAATATTTATTAGATAAAACAAATTAAATCCTCAAATTTCCTCAATGGGTTGCTTTTATTAAAATTTGACTATATTTATTTTATTTACTGCTTGAGACTAGATCTTTTAGAGTTTTTATTTTAAAATAGACCTTTGGGAAGAGGGAATTATGTTTGGCTTCATTATAAACCATTATCTATTTGACCAGTAAATATTAGGGGGAAAACAGTATTCTTATTTCTTTGAGAGTTTTTATTTTAAAATAGGCCTTGGGGAAGGAAAAATTTTGTGTTTGGCTTCATTATAAATCATTATCTATTCGACCAGTAAGGTAGTAGAGGAAAAACAGTATTCTGACTAAGCAATATTAGGGAAAATGAAGAACCATTAAAGAAAAGGAGAGGGAATATAATTCTAAGAATGGAAAGAACAAAAAAATAGGAGGAAGGAAGAAATTTCCAGCTTTTAACTGACTTTTGAGATTTGGATTCCACTTAATTCTGTTGGATTACAATCTTTGTTGTCAGTCTGTAATCTTTAATGGACTATTTCCTTTGTCTTGGCGGTATGTGCCAATCTAATATTTTGTAAAGGCAAAATTTCTTTGATTTGCTGTAAACAGAATTCTGATGAGAAAGCCAATGCTTGTATCTCCTTCACATGCTGCCTTTCACCTACTTCCCCGTACATTTAGAAGAACCCCTACATCCCATCTTGCAATCCCAGGAAACCTGCCCCCCTTCCCATCCTTATCTTGTTATGTTTTAATGCATTAGGATAATACCCAGTCTTCCTTCCTTTCGTCTCTGGTAAATTTGCGTGCCCAATCAAAATTAAGAAACTCTCCAACTCCATTAAATTTTGCAAATTAAAAAATTATGCTCTCATGTGAAATGCCATATGGTTGTCCCTCAGTATCCACAGAGGATTGGTTCCAGGATGCCTGTGGATACCAAAATCCCCGGATGCTCAAGTCTCTTATATAAAACGGCATAGTATTTGCATATAACCTACACACATCCTCTCATATACTTTAAATTATCTCTAGATTATTTATATACTTAATTTAATTTAAATACTATGTAGATAGCTGTTATACTGTATTGTTTAGGGAATAAATGACAAGGAAAAAAGTCTGTACATGTTCAGTACAGACACCACCATCATAGGTCTTTGATACACAGTTGGTTGAATCCCTAGATGGGAAACCTGTGAATACAGAGGGCCGACTGTACCTTTCTTTAGTTTTGTTTTATAAATTACATATCACTTTTAAAAATTTAAATTCTGATACTGCATATCTTCCCATTTGAGTGGCAGAAAAAATTGGAAAAACTTACCTGATTCCTTGATGAGAAAGGAGAAATCTCTGTTTGAAGCAACTCCCCAAAATATTCAGAGAACAAGGGCTGTGCTGCATAGGAATTGACAACAAAGGACACAACTCATACTGAGTATGTTCCTAAAATGTACTAAAAGTACGTCACAAATACAAGGAACAAATGCAGCTCTCTTTTCTCAACATACGATCAGGCCTGGCCAGCACTGGAGGCTCTATAATCCTTGGCTGGAAGAAACAATCGACATATTGATAAACATTTCAGTTTCCTATAAAGTATTATTGAATTACATCGTAATTGAAGTAGCAGTGAGTGCGGTGGCTTTACTTGCCCTGCATTTTCATTATGGCGCTCTTACATCATTATATATTTTAGTAGAAATTTTCTTAACCCAATTTATAGATTAGCTTATTTAACGAACCTGCTAAATTGTAATTTCATGGCCTGGGGAAATGGTCCCTCCAAAAGAGCTTGCTTCTTATGCCCTGGAAGAGATGAGTCAATGGCCATATTTTCTTTTCCCTCAGTAGCTTTGGGTATCGTAGCTCATGAAAAGTGCCTTCGTGTTTTGGTTCACTGACTTAAGGTGCTCTGTGAATTCAACTTGTAAATAAGTAATGTAGACCCTGTTTTGTGATTGAAATGAGGGGCAGATTTCGTTGACCTTTGGATTTTCCCGCCCCCAGTGGTGTGGATAATATTCATAACCCTTCTCAGCCTCATCCTGCCTGTACTCTTTGAAGTCAACTATAATGTGTTGACATCCGTGACTGGCTCTTTGCTGGCGGTTCTCCGGCACTAATGGACTTTGCTTATTCGCAGAGGATGGCACTTCTCTTGAACTCTGTCTCATTTCATTTCTTTTCCTCTCCAGACAGCTCTTAGTTTCTCCCTAGCATGTTTCCAAAATGCTTTGAACACTTTAGCTCTATACTGTAGGAGACATTCCTTGTACAAAGTTTTGCTTTAAATGTGGTTTATATACTACTTTTTTCCCCACAGTGTCATAGTTTTAAATGTTTCTGAATGAGTATTTGAAAACCAGCCTATCTTAATTGTTATTATATTTTATATATTATTTCCCAAAAAGGGATTATCACATTTTCATCTGTATGTGTAAAGAAGATGTAATTTTATGAAATAATCTATTATAGAAAGTTTTTTTTTATTTTCTTCCTGTTCTTGTCTCACTTCAGACTTTCATATTAGATTATTTTTATTGACTGTTTTAAAGCAATTATGAGAATGTAATCCATATAACGATGTCACAATAAAATATGTAACAATCATTATTTTAAGTCAATAGTGCTATTTTCTTTATAGTGGATAATGTAATAACACATCTGATTCACTGGCAAATAGATTTAAAAATAAATACATAAATATATCTTCATATTTTTTCTCTGACCTTTTATGCTGCTCAAATGTGCTAAGTCATGCAAATATTGGTTGTCTGTGTGTATGCAGTATAAATAACATGAAACTTTTGAATCTATGAATTACATATTTATATAAATGAGTAAATGCTCTTATACTTTTATTCCTTTCGTTGTTTAATGGAAATGCATTGATTGTGGTAAATATCATTTTTTATTTTTTAGCAAAAATTTCTAAGAGTTTTATCGATATTCTTTTTTGTTACAGAAATATTCAATAGCTAACTATACAGATATCTCTAGTCTCAATCTGCACATCTAGCAAATTGTCAGAATAGTAGAAAGATATCCTGATACATATTTCCCCCAGTACTTTAGTCAACAAGGATTGTCCTCCTACTGGAACCATTTCATTCAAACTCTGTCTCCTCCTTTCCACAGTCAGAGGAGACTTTGATTACTTAAAAAGTCTTTACTTTTTAAGAGATATGGCACCATATTCATTTGTGTCTCATAACTGTTTTCTTTAAACTAGTCTTACTTCTGATTTTTTTTCCTTCCAAGCTGTTTTCTGATTGGACAATAATAATTTTATTTGCTTTGTTCCTTATTCTGCATGACCTTTTCCTCTTCAAACTAGTGTGCTAGTAAGCGTCTGATGGGTAAGAGGAAGATTTCTGTTCCTAAGAAGGGTAAATCTGTTAAACCACGCAAAGATATATGCTTGGGAACGAAGGTCAGAATAATTTCAACAAATTGCACCATACTACTGGAGCAAAGCTCTTTGTCCTTTCATGCCTTAAAAATGAGTTCACACTGGACAGTCAGATTCTAATGTTCAGAAACCATAGACTATTTTAGCAGCCTATTTCTTTAGTGAAAAATGAATCTTCTAATAAATACCTGTGTGAGAATAACAACAATAACAAGAACATTTATTGACATTTTACAAGGCCATTCTGTTGATCATTTCACATATTTGATAGAACACTTGGGCACAAACCAACTCTCAGCTCCATCTGTGTTTTGTGAAGGCTGTTTGATTACCACGGGCGTGTGCCTCCGCCTCCCAGGGCAGTAATCCCGCTGAAGCGTCCCAGAGTGGCTGTGACAACGACCCGCAGGGGAAAAGGAGTCTTTTCCATGAAAGGGGGCTCGAGATCTACTGTCAGTGGGTCTTCCTCATCAGGCTCCAAATGTAAGTAATCTTCCTTATTTTATTTCCCTTTTAAAAAGGTGGGGATAATTGTCATTGCTTGAATGCCTAGATTCAATAAATTAATCAAATAATTATGGAGTGCTTGCTATATACAAAGTATTAGAGAAACCTAAAATGGAGGAGAGCTGATGTCTGCTTTCCACCACACTGTATTTCAGGAAGTGACACAGACACAAACATAACTAACAAAAACCCAGGACCAATTTGAAAACAGTTTTATCAGAGCAAATAACGTGCCCTTGACTCACTTAGCTCATGACATATTCTAGTCTGGAAATGGAAAGTTGCTTTTAGTGAAGGAACAATTCCATTTCAGAAAGGAAGTACATATACGATCTTTTCAAAGAAAGATTATGCAAAATTACTACGTTTTGAATATTTGAGCATTAGGATAATTAAGATAGGCAAACAATATAGTAGAGGTATAAAAAACATAACTTACCATACTATTCTAAATTATTATGAGTTATGTGTCTGAAAGTATATTTAATGTCATAAAAAATAAAATATTTACATAATTTCACATTAGTTAGTAAAAAGTAGAGATACAAACTTTCCAACTAAACAGACTGCTAATTTTTTTTTTTTTTTTTTTGTGAGGAAGATCAGCCCTGACCTAACACCTGCCAATCCTCTTTTTGCTGAGGAAGACTGGCCCTGGGCCAACATCCATGCCTATCTTCCTCCACTTTATATGGGACGCCGCCACAGCATGGCCTGCTAAGCGATGGTCACTGTACGCCCGGGATCGGAACGGGTGAACCCCAGGCCACCGCAGTGAAGCGCGCGCACTTAACCACTTGCGCC